TATATATATATATATATAGGCTCGCGAATGATTGGAGACCCACTGGTCTCTCTGTCGTCGTTTGTATCGCCGCCAGGCGATCAAATCCGTTTCTTCTTTCTTCCCATTCTCGTTTCGAGAAACTACCCTGAAGAACTAATTCTCAATTCCCCAGGATCGGGAAAGAAATCGCCCGGCATTGCGGAAGTTCCACTTTCTTGATTGGATTGCATCATTCCGAGTGACGTCATTACGTTACAGTAGGTGCCGTTTTCTGGAGAACGATGAGGACTGGCAAAGTTCTTTTCTCTCTTGTAAATGAATTGCTTTCCTTACGTTCTTATTATGTAAATAAATTCCACGGTTCGTTCATCGCGAGCCACCTGGGCAAACGAATTTTTTTCACTCGCTTCGGTATTCAATGTTGACGAGTCTATGAATTTGCATGAGATCCATGTACGTAATTTATGTGTATTGCATCAAAAATCACCGAAGAAGCTTGCTTTTCACTCTTTTTAATTTTATCCTTCAAATACTGTAGGATTACACGTACGTTTAATCGCAGGATTTCTAAATGCGCCCGTGAAAAAAAATTCCTAATAGACGAGGATTTATTCAATCGTTTAATTTCGTTTGTCATACGATCACTTTGTTGGGATATTGATAAATTACACTGGTGAGTAAAAACCACGGTCGAGCGTGCTCGACAGACACCGACTGTGAAATATCTAAACTGTAATAAATGATACAAGTGTCGTCGACTGTGTGAGACAATCAATAGTGGACATGTCAAATAAACATGTGTGCAACTGACGTTAGAATTTGGAGAATTTAGAGATCGTTTGTCACGAGTGTGAAAATAAATGTACATAAAAGATTGGAATCGATTGGAAATATATATATGGCGCGCTGAGAATAACATATATACCGAAGGAAAAGTCGATGATAATTCGATTCAGTCAGTTTGTATATTTTTCATTCAAGTTGAAGGGAAATCAGTACTCGAGTACGGAATCGTTGGTCGGGGAAAAGTTGAATCATTGCAACGGATGTTATTAATCGAATAGAGACAAGTGGCGCGAGCCTGGATAGGCTCGATTTTCTGTATATCGTTAGGTATATCGAGAGTGTCCGGATACCGGAGTTGCTCCTTTATGCAGAATTCACGTGCACGAGAGCGTGGCAGTGGGTGCACTGTCCGATGCACGTGACGCGAGACACATTGCACCGGGCATAGTCACGTGCACCGACCAAGCACACTCTCTCTCCCTCGCAGGCAAGGGAATGTTGTAAGTACAGATATGCTGGAGCGTAGCTCCTTCTCAACCCGATGAAATATACACGAATCATACGAGACGCTCGTACTTGTCTCGTACTGTTTTTTTTTTTTTTTCGTCCGATACTTTCGATCGAAGCGCCTAAAGCGCCTCGAAAGAATTACTCGCGAAACTTATAGGAACTTGGGCGAGAAATTCAATGTAATAAGAAGGTTCGAATCATAGAGTATCGGGGGATTACAAAAGTAATGGTATCCTCAAGACTGAAAGCAAACGATCGATCAGTGCGTTATCTTTTCACGATAGGGGCAGAGGGCTGACACGAAAGCCTGTAAATTGGAAAATTCACGGACGTCGCGCCGGTACGAGTTGAGCAAGCACGTGCTGCTTAATCGTTTTTCAAGTGCTACACACAGAGCTACATGTAGACATATCATATATATATATATATAGAGAGAGAGAGAGAGAGAGAGAGAGAGAGAGAGCTAGAGTCGAAAGCAAGCTTATCTCGCATAAGTCAACGTCATATCTCGCAGGAAACAATAATGACGCTATTAAAGCGTTTCTTTGCGTGTACGTAGCATATTGGAAAAATAAACGAGTTAATAACGGGCGCTTGGTTGTGAGAAAACAGTCTCTTGCCAACACGTATATTTCCATATATATATATAGCTACCCGAGAGGAATATTTATGGTTATATGTGTGTGTATTTGCATGACCTGTCAGGATGCTGAAATGACTAATATTGTCCTTGACTACATAAGTAATTGGCTTACTGGTCATTTGTAAATTGCTGAAGGCTCGACTCCTTGCCGATCAGGAATCCGGTCCTACTTTCCTACTTTCCTACCTTGAATTTAATTGTTTACTAGGGGCCGGCTGTTTGATTTATAAGGAATAGGCGCTGACACCCGCGTTCAAGAGGAACACAGTCAACACAGTTCTCGCAGTTTCTCACAGTCAGCTATTACCCAGAATCAGCTACATTATAAATGGCGTGTTACGTTCGGGCAATCTCGGTGATTATTGGATACAATCCAATTACGGGTTAACCGAGCGCGTTAAGTTTCTTAATTATCGTACCGCGATCTCTCGAAATGATCTCTCTACGGTGGTTCAAATTGCCCGAACGAGAGAAAAAGTTCTCCTTTGGGGCAGTCGAAGCTGTTACGTACGTGGTAGTGTAACGTAAAACTCGAGAGTGAAAAAAGTAGAAGACGTAACGCGAAC